GCACCCTAACATTCAGTGTTGTTACCATCACTGAATCCCTTACTGTCAACATCCTGGGGGTTAACATTGACCACAAACACGACTGGACTCGCCACATAAACACAGTGGCTGCAATGGCAGGTCAGAAGCTTGGAACACTGCAGCAAATAACTCACTTCCTGACTCCTCAAAGCCTGTCCACTATCTACAAGGCACAAGTCAGGAGTGTGATGGAATACTCTCCATTTACCTGAAATAGTACAGCCTCCAACAACACTGGAGAAGTTTGATACCATCCAATTCAAAGCAGCCCAATTGATTGATATCACATCCACAAGCATCCACTCTCTCCACTACTGAAGCTCAGTAACAGCAGTGTGTACTATCTACAAGATGCATTGTCAAAATTCACCAAAGATCCTTAGACACACTTTCCAAACCCACGACTGCTTCTGCCCAGAAAGACAAGGGCAGCAGATACATGGAGCACCACCACTTACAAATTCCTCTTCAAGCCACTCACTATCCTGACTTGGAAATACATCGCCATTCCTTTACTGTCACTGGGTCAAAATCCTGGAATTCCCTCTCTAAGGGCACTGCGGGTTTACCTGCAGCACACAGACTGCATCAGTTCAAGGCAGATCACTAACACTTCTCAAAGGCAATGATGGCCTAGTGATATTATTGCTCGGCTATTAATCCAGAAACTCCACCAATATTCTGTCGTACCCGGGTTCAAATCCCTGCAAGGCAGATAGTGGAATTTGAATTCAATACAAAGAAAATCTGAAATTAAGAATCTAGTGATGACCATGAAACCATTGTTGATTGTCAGAAAAACACATCTGATTCACTAATGTCCTTCAGGGAAGGAAATCTGCCATCCTTATCTGGTCTGGCCTACATGTGAGTCCAGACCCACAGCAATGTGGGTTGACTCTCAATTGCCTCTGAAATCACCTAGTGAGCCACTCAGTTGTACTAATTGCTACAAAGTCTTAAAGAAATGAAACTGGACGGATCACCTGGCATCGGCCCAGGCACCAGAAAAGACAACGGCAAAAACAGCCCTGTCGACCCTGCAAAGTCCTCCTGACTAACATCTGGGGCTAGTGATGAAATTGGGGAAGCTGTCTCACAGACTAATCAAGCAACTGTCTTATGTATTCATACGCATGGCATCATACCTTATAGACAATTTCCCAGACCCCACTATCACCATCAATGGATGTGTTCCGTCCCACTGGCAGGACAGACCCAGCAGAGGTGGTGGCACAATGGTATACCGTCAGGAGGGAATTGCCCTGGGGAGCCCTCAGCATTTACTCTGGACCTCATGAATTCTCATGATTTCAGATTAAACATGGACAAAGAAACCTCCTGCTAGTTACCATATACCATCCCCCTTAGCTAACAAATTAGTACCCCTCCATGTCGAACAACATTTAGAGGAAGCACTGAGGATATCAGGGGCACAAAACATACTCTGGGTGGGGGATTTCAATGTCCACCTCTAAGAGTGGCTCGGCAACAGTAACACCAATCGAGCTGGTCAGATCCTAAATGACATGGGCACAGTAAAGGGAGAGAAAAGACTTCTGGTTTAAAGTGCATTTATTTCAACGCATGAGGCCTGACTGGTAAGGCAGATGAGCTCAGAATATGGATTGGCTCTGGGGACTGGGATATTATAGCCATAACAGTGATCCCACAAGCAACGGATCAGATCCAAGCTCTGCAGTCCTGCCACATCCAGTCGTGAATGGTAGTGGACAATTAAACAACTCACTGGAGGAGGAGGTTCCACAAACATCCCCATCCTCAATGATGGAAGAGTCCAGCACATCAGTGCAAAAGATAAGGCTGAAGCATTTGCAGCAATCTTCAGCCAGAAGTGCCGAGTGGATGATCCATCTCGGCCTCCTCCAGTGGTCCCCAGCATTACAGATACCAGTCTTCAGCCAATTTGGTTCACACTACATGATATCAAGAAATGGTTGATATAGAATTAGGTTTATTGTCACATGTGTTTAAATACAGGGATACATGAGTACATCGAAAAGTGTACAAAGTCACTATTTCTGGTGTCATCTTTGGTGGAAAGATACCTAGGTACAAAATCTAAGGTATAAATTAGAAAAACGAAGAAATAAAAGGGAAAGTTCGGCCTTACAGTCTTAAAGTTCTCAAGCAGGGAGTTCCCACTGGGCTTAACCTTGAGGCTAGGAATCCGCACTAGGATTCCTTGAAGCCAAGACTCTGCATCGGGCCTACAAAAGGCTGGGGCTCATTGAGTCCATCTGAGGAATGGAAGTAAGTGGAATGAAAAAAGAAGAAGCAAAAGAGAAAAAACATGAAAAGTGGAAAAAGAAGAAAGAAACGGATAGAGCAGATAAGCTCTGGTTTAGGAACACTTCTACACCGCCATCTTGAAGCAAGACACTGGATGCTGCAAAGGCTATGGGCCCTGATAACATTCCGGCAGTAATGAAAACTTGTGCACCAGAACTTGCCATGCCCCTAGCCAAACTGTTACAGTTATAACACTGGCATCTACCCAACAATGTGGAAAATTGCCCGGTTTGTTGTACATAAAAGGCAGGAATATTGCAGTGAGTAACTCACCTCCTGACTCCTCAAAGCCTGTCCACCATCTACAAGGCACAAGTCAGGAGTGTGATGGAATACTCCCCACTTGCCTGGATGAGTACAGCCCCAACAACACTCAAGAAGCTTGACACCATTCAGGAAAAGGCAGCACATTTGGTGGGGTTCTCACACGCATAAATATCCATTCCCTCCACACTAATGCTCAATAGCAGCAGTGCGTACTATCTACAAGATGCACTGCAGAAATTCACCAAAGAACCTCAGACAGCACCTTCCAAACCCATGATAACTTTCATGCAGAAGGACAAATGCAGCAGATATGGGAGCACAATCACCTGCAAGTTCCCATCCAAGCCACTCACCATCCTGACTCGGAAATATATTTCCGCTCTTCCACTGACTCTGGGTCAAAATCCTGAAATTCGCTCCCTAATAGCATTGTGTGTCAACCCACAGCAGGTGGATTGCAGCGGTTCAAGAAGACAGATCACCTCCACCTTCTAAAAGGCAACTAGGGATGGGCAATAAATACTGGCCAGCCAGCGATACCCATATCCTATGAGTGAATAAAAAAAGATACACATTGCTACTACTGTGGTGGTGAAATGTGTAAATGTTGATGATGTATGTAGTGCCAATTAAGCAAGTGGCATTGTCCTGGATGGTGTCAAGCTTCTTGACTGCTGTTAAAGCTGCACTCATCCAGGCAAGTGGAAACTATTCCAGCATACTCCTGGCCTGTGCTTTTTTGATGGTGAACAGACATTAGGGAATGGCTAGTTCTGGAGCACGTATCTTAAGTACTTTTCTGGAATGTTGTCAGGGCCTGTAGCCTTTGCCAATATCCAGGGCTTTCATTCATTTCTTCATGGAAAAGGGGAACAAGGATTATGCTGCGGCACAGATACAATAATGGACGTGAGACCATGATCAACTCATTTATAATCTTATTGAATAGCAGAGCATGCTTGAGGGCTCAAATAAGCTATTCCTATCCTCAATTCTTAAGTTGTGCTCTCTTGCACATTTTCTTTGGATTTTTATGGGTTACTGGAGTTTGGGAAGTTCTGGCGAAGATATCTACCTCTCCTTGTCCCAAGGTGCAGTTTTGTCTTTTTAAAATCTGTCTGTCTGTCTCCCTGTATCTGGTCTAATCATAACTTTCTGCACAAACTGCTGGTTAGTTCTTCAGCGGTGTTTATCACAGTGATAATGACCAATGTACTGTCATGCATAGGGATACTTGCAGCATTTGGAATTGTACTCTTATCACCATTAGCTAATTTAACTGAAAGCGATAATTTGATACATAAGTGAAAATTACTGAATGGAGATGTACATAGCTGTTGGTAATTTAAACAAAACAGAGGCATATGTTTTTGTGAGGGTGGTGTCATTATAAGTGACTGCCATCTCACATTCAATGTTTGACTTTTGTGGGAAAGTCTGTTGCACAGACTGTTCCTCAGATGTAATAGTATGAAAGAAAGATGTTAGCACATTGAGGTAGTAGAGATAGTGCAGAGCCTTTCCCGTTTGGAATGCTGATTGGGATTTCAGTTGAGGACTTGTCCTGATGGACAATCTATAAGCATTGTCAGGTGGCTGCTCCCAGAATACAAATCTTTGCTGTGATGTGAAAATTTTCCTGTGATAGATATCCACTTTCACTGTCCAATCTATTGATAAAAGTTCCTACATTTCTACATGTTAAAATAATAAGAATATCAGGAATTGGATCAGCAGATGATACAGGTCCCTTGAGCCTGATCCATCATTCAAAAAGATGAAGGCTGATCACTGGCCTCCATCCTCCCAACAATTTCCCATGTCCCTGGATTCTTTGAGAGACCAGAGATCGTTAGCAAATCCATACTATATCATACAGTAGCAAACAGATACTTATCACATTTATATGAAATTCCTCCATCAAGAGTTTAAATAGGTAAAGGATTTTTGCAACTTAGTGAATTACAAACACATTCAAAAAAAGAACTGTAACAGTCTCACTATGTAAAACATGCAAGCAGCTCTTTCTGCTGTTGAACGTGTCTTCTTAAACAGTTTATCAGGGAATGTAAAACAAATATTTGAAACATTCTTAGACTAATATTAATTCACCACAATGTTATCAAGCATTTCTAAAACACTTCTGAGCATAAATTCCTGTAATCCCAAACTAGCTTTAATAATTGTTTGGTTTTTATAATTTGATCAGCAGTATACTCATATGAAGGCTTTTAGCCATTCATTTATCACTACTACTAAAAAGCAGGAGATAGCTAATAAATTAATAACAACAAAAATAAACATAGACAGTGAGAGAAAAACATCTGCCTTCCATAGAAAGAAGTTGAGCTGGTCAAGATAATCTTTTTTAACTCTCTTTGCTGCTTCTGTTAATGCAGATGCCTCATTAAAGACTTTGAACACCGCCCGACTGTCTCCAATCTCCTGGAACATCCCTTTATCATACAAATTCAAGGAAAAGAGAAGGCCCTGCAGAAACAATTAATGGAACTCATAGACCTTCACCAACAAATGGGTGCCATTGAAAAGACAAGGTACTTAACAGCTTTACAGGGTCCAAGAGAAATGTTTTAGCTAATTCTGTTTAAATCAACAGATGAAGTTCAATGCGAAGATGGAGAGACAATATAAAATGAAGGGTATAGTTTTAAATGGGCCTTTATGTAGATATGTATACATCATTGAAAGTCACTCAACAGTTTGAGAGATGGTTTACTAAAGCAAGTTCAATCAAGCCATTCGAAAGGTAATTGGATACTTAAATGAAAAGGAAAATAAGATTATGGTCCTCACTAGGGTAACACTTTGGAAGTCAAACCCACTATTCTCAGAGTTATCACAAGAATGAAAGATTTTAGAGATGGAAGCAAAATTTCCCAAACTACCTGTCTTTTAGACCCAGGCTGGAAATCACAGATCTGGTTTCTGTACTTAAGAATTACTATTTATTAGAAGTAAATAGATTCTAGCTACAGGTAAAGAATTATGAACAGTCAGCATATTACTGGCTAAAACTTTTAATCTTATTATAAGTTCCTAATTACACAATGACTGAAAGGAAAACATGGGCATTATGAATGGAGGGACAACTGGGAAAGCTGTTCAGTAGTAGAGGGAGATAACAAGGTGTAGAGCTGGATGAACACAGCAGGCCAAGCAGCATCAGAGGAGCAGGAAAGCTGACATCTCTGTTTATAGAGTCTGCTCAGATCATTGTTGTGCTGATCAGAACGCTACATTGTGGTCTTCCATCTCCAGATGTTTTACTGGTTTGCAGGAGAGACAGTGTGACTATTTTGCATATTCAAAATTGATCTCTGACATAGCAATTAAAAGTCACAGCTTACCACATTTTCTGAAGGAAAAAAAAGCATGTTTTCTTCAGGCTTAAAGTGGGTTTTACTGCAGACAATAATACAGCTTCTGAATTGGTGGAGATCTGATTGCCGATCTGATCTCTAAAACACAGTCCCATAGCCTTTTCCATGCGCTTGCTACAGTCTGCTAGGCAGGCACATCCCAAACCCCTGGATTTATCTGAAATCCGGCCTTCACCATTTCTTTTCTGGGGCTACCAATTATCCCCCTAGTGGCTACTCCACAGTTCTGGCACAGCTGAGATGATGGAGATGCCAGCCAATTGTGTTTGCTGGTAGGCCTCTTGAAATAACTCCATAGAGGCCGGTATCCCTGCATTTACACATGGGGAATCCTTGATGCTGATCCAGCTCCCTCAGAGTGAGCAGAACCTCTGACGCTCCTGTTTATATCTGTCAGCCAGGGCTCTCTGATTGGATCAGGTTAACAGCCCCAATCAGGGAATCCATGTGCTATGATTCTGGTGTTGGGGGGAGGGGGTGCAGAATACATATCCCCATAAAATCCAACCCAATATCTTAATAATGGGAATGAGAAAAGCATGTTTATAAGCCTCTGAGAAGTACTCATGCTAGAAATATTAGCCACACACACAAATACATTGACACAATGATATTCAATATTATTAACTACCACTAGTTAAAAATCTTTACATCATATTTTGAGAAAGGATGCTAATATATTTAATTGGGTAACAATTTCATTAAAATTGCAAGCATTAGAATTTCAAATACATTTAAATTGAAAATCACAGAAATTTCATACAAATTAGTCAAGCCTTTGTTTGCTGTTCTCACACAGCATGAGCTTAGCCTTTAATAGCAAGCTGCAGGAATTGTAAATTGATCTGTTTAAGCATTTTATAACACATTTCCAGCCTCTGGCCCAGAGGTAGGGTCACTACCACTGTACCACAAGAGCTTTAAATACTGTCTGTGTCTTTTAACCTTTCAGGTGGTTTTTAGTCTATCAAGTAGGTTAGCTTGAATTTAAATATTGCTGGTGTTTTTTTCCCTCATGGGATCAGACATCCAGATACATCTATAGAGACAAAAAACTGCAGATGCTGGAATCCAAGGCAGACAAACAGGAGGCTGGAAGAGCACAGCAAACCAGACAGCAGCCATGAACCTTGCCGCATATTCACCATTCCCCTGACTTTGAACTCCCTGAGGCCGAACAGTCTGTCCTCAGTAAAGGGCTCACGTTCATGCCCCTCTGCCTTCTTCTTCGATAAAGACTCCCAACCACCCTCCAGGGACCCCTTCTTCCACCTCCAACCTTCCTCCTCTCAGACAGCCCCTGCCGGCCTCCTACCCACACTGGATCTCTTCAGGTGCCAGCACAACATCAACTGCCTCAATTTCTCCAGCCCCCTCACCCACTCCAACCTCTTCCCCTCTGAATGTGCAGCGCTCTACTCTCTCCGCACCAATCCCCGTTTCACAATCAAACCCGCTGAAAAAAGTGGGGCGGTGGTAGGCTGGACGATGGACCTCTATATCGCAGAGGCCAAATACCCACTCTCCGACACCATGTCCTACCTCCTCCTTGACCATGACCCCACCTTGGCCCATCAAGCCATTGTCTCACACATTGCCCATGACCTCATCATTTCCGGTGACATCCCCTCCATCACCTCCAACCTTATACACCCCCAGCCCCTCACCGCCCGGTTCTACCTGGTCCCCAAGTTCCATAAGCCCAACTACCCTGGCCAACCCATCATCTCCGCATGCTCCTTCCCCACCGACCTCATCTCTTCCCACCTCGACTCCATTCTCTTCCCCTTGGTCCAGGCACTCCCCCCCTATATCCGGGCCACAAACCACGCCCTCTACCTCTTTGGTAACTTCCAGATCCCTGGCCCCCAACGCTTCATCTTTACTATGGACGTTCAATCCCTATTCACATTCACACCCCATAAGGGCGGTCTACAGGCCTCAGTTTTTTCCTCTGCAACAGATTCAACCAGACCCTCCAAACAACACCCTCCTCCACCTCACCAAACTAGTCCTCACCCTCAATAACTTTTCCTTCAATTCTTCCCACTTTCTCCAAATCCAGGGGGTTGCCATGGGCACTTGGATGGGCCCCAGCTATGCCTGCCCGTTTGAATGTTATGTCGAACAGTCTCTCTTCAGTACGTACACTGGCACTGTTCCCCAACTCTTCTGCCGTTACATCGATAACTGCATCAGTGCTGCATCCTGCACCCAGGCTGAACTGGAGCAGTTCATTGACTCCGCTAACAACTTCCACCCCACCCTCAAATTCTCTTGGCCGATCTCAGACACCTCCTTCCCCTTTCTTGACCTCTCTGTTTCCATTTCCAGTGACAATTACCAACCGACATTTTCTGTAAACCCACTGACTCCCATAGCTACCTGGACTACACCTCCTCCCACCCTGTATCCTGCAAAAATTCCATCCGTTTTCCCAATTCTTCCGTCTCAGTCACATCTGTTCTGGCAAGGAGACGTTCCACACCCAAGCACCCCGGATGTCTGCCTTTTTGAAACAATGTTTTCTTCTCCCGTCTGTCATCCAGACAGGCCTCCACTGCACCTCCTCCATTCCCCACTCCACAGCTCTTAACCACACACCCCCAAACATAATAAAGAAAAGGTCCCCCTTGTCCTCACTTTCCACCCCACCAGTCTCCACATTCAACGTTTCATTATTAAACACTTCCGCCAACTCCAATTAGACCCCAATTAGACCCCACCACCCGGAACAGCTTCCACTCCCCACCCCTCTCTGCACCCCCTTTGCCACTCCTTAGTTCGGACCACACTCCCCACCAACCATTCCAACCCGCCTGGTTCCTTCCCCACCCATCATCACCATTCCACCTCCACCCCTCCCCCCATCTCTTTATCTGCAGCTCCCTCTACCCCACATCCAGTCCCAAAGAAGGGTTATACCCGAAACATTGACTGCTCCTTTCCTCCAGATGGCTTCCTGGCTTGCTCTGTTCTTCCAGCGTCCTGTTTGTCTACTACTCAGATGCATCTCGCTGACGGAGATCAGTGCAATATTGGGCAACCTGGCCTGCTGATATTTCTGGGGTGGGTGGGGTAAGAAGCTGGAATTTCTTGTGCCAGAGGAAGATCCCCTGGCAGTAACTTCATAAAATATTACTGACAAAGCTCTCCAGACTGTTTTTTGAGCACTCCTTTTAAAGACCACTGGTTAGGTCGCTCAACATAGGAATCATGGGAAGTGAAGTCGAAGTATTAGTTGAAAAGTGTGCATATTCCATTATTATCCCTGAAATTGCAACCCAACATCCTTATTGCATCATTCATGGAAAAACTGGTTTAATTGAATTTGTTAAATATGGAAATGTTGATGATCACATAATTTACAATTTTCATGAGTCATGTGCTTCTATTTGGAGGGGTCAGTGATACTTTGCTGATCATATAATTGAGATTCTGATAATACTATGTTTTTCCTAAGTCGATGATTGAAACAAGTGCCTAGGCTGATGCCTCTCTTGCTCCCAGGTAATAAGCACTGAAAAGGTTCAGGACCCAGCTGTCTCTATCTAAATTTATTTCAATTAATTTTTAATTGGCATAACTAACAGAATAGCTTCTTTGAAATTAAAAGTCGGGAAAGAAAATAATTGGAGATACACTGCACTAAGGAGAAGATCAGTTTTTAATTCTAGTTGTGTGTTTTACTAGAGAGTGGTTAATCATTTTAATACTTTAGTTTTAAAGCAGGCCATAGTTTAAACACTTTATTAAGTGGAGTAATGGTATATTAAATGAGCAAGTGCCATAGGTATAAAACAAATTAAAATCATCAAACATGAACAGGAGAGCTCAGCAATCTGTTGTAGATCTTCCGCTCCAGAGCAAATGACAGGTTAATATTTTGCGTATATATGTCCTTCACCAGAACTGAAAAGGTAAACATAATCCTGCAAATGGAAGAAAGAAAACAAGAGGTGAGTAAACATGTGGATTGTGTAGGATGCTCCATTTATCGAATAATCATCATGTTGCAATTAGGGCCCCCTGGGTCTCAGACGAACCCATAACATGGAGTCATCTGTTAAGTGACAGCATATGAACAAAAGACATTGTTTATTGCTCAAGGCACATTCTCTGAAGTCTGGGTCTACCCAGGTACATCCCTCCAT